CCTCAGCTGGTTCGCCTAGACTATGGGCGTGTAGTGGAAAAGGTACCACATATACGAATAATAATGAAATAAACAGTACAAGGAACGGACTCACAGAAGGATTGTCCGCTGGTCGATTGATCCTGTTCTTGTGATGTGTGGTTCCGGTCGACGAGGTGTGGTGGAGCTGAAATGGGTGACTGCGACAGTTAACGGACCGCTTGACGATAACTGATAATGCTTGCTTAATTCCTCAGCAACACTCGGAGAACACGTACGTATTTACGAACAGAATTTTGTATTGTGTATTAGGTACTGAGCATAATAAAACAAGCTGTACAATCAGGTCAGATAAAGTGGATAGAAAAGTAAGACACTACAACCCTCTACCTGCCTTAGGCAGGCGACCAACTGGTCATCCTCCTCTGTGGAGGACCGAGGACTACCTTATGTGCAAATTATTGCTACTTCTCTGTGGGGTTGTTTTAGCAAGCACCCGGTGGATTGGATGTTTGCTGTCTACATGTTGATTACGGCTGTTTGTGTTAGGTGTTCCGCTACGATTACTGGGGAACCACCTCCGATGCGACCATCAGTGCGATCACATCGGTAGGCCATGAATCCTGGTGGGTGTAATCCTGTGGTGTTGAAGTCTGGTTTCAGCCAAGTTCCATTGACTGCTGTGCAAGTGGCCGTTCCTGCTTCTGCTAATATGTCGGGCCACTTGTTCTTTGGGCTGCAGGCATTGGTGTAGAGAACATCCAATGTTTGCACCGTGTGTTCCCTTAGCGGTAAAAGACTGCACCCAGGGCTTAGGCCCGGGTGCTTACCGAGTTTCTTGTCTCGGTTGTAGAGTCCTTCCTATGTGGACTCCCGCAGATTGGGGTTACGGTAAGAGCAGGCACCGCTTTCGGTGTTGCTGTTTCGGTGTCAAAGTGGTTTAACAAAAAATGCCGATTCATTCGTGGACAGCCCGGGTGTGCAGGCATTGGGGCTCGGTGAAACCTTTGGAGTGGAAGGTTGTACCCTTACGATCAGTCGCCTGGCGCTACCTGGTGAGGGTGATGGCACGGTAGCAACACTCTTCCAGCTATTCGCATAATCAGGGACTACGGTGATTTTGCCTTTGGTCAAGAGCTGCACGTGGCCTGCTGCTGCTAACATGGCATCCTGGTGCCTAGGGTTTTGGAACTCTACCAGCGTTGGTCTTCGGTTGCCTTCGCTGACAACGTGAGAGGTTTCCCTCTATTTCCGCAGGCGCAGGATTCGCTTGATATGAACATGCCCTGGGGCATTAGCAAGTCGCAAGATACTGAGTAACTGGTGGAGTAGGTCGTGTTTGCGCTTGCGCGCTTCACGACAGTGTGATTCAGCCAGCCCCCTTATCATCGCGTTGCGGTTCTTTCCGAAAGCTATGTCTATGTCCGCTTCTAGTTTTTTTAATACGCTGTCCAGAGAATTAGTGATTGTAGTTAATCGGTTTATTGAAGCCCCGTGGTCGTTTATTCTCTTATGGTGCCACTCGGATGTCGGTGCTGGTCCCTTATTGCATGGGCTTGGAACCTTACTGGGAAGAATCATGGGAGGTGAGTTTAAACCTTATGATGGGACTAACAATTTGTGCCGATCGGAGTTGGGTGAGTCTACTTCACTGAGTTTCCTTCTTCGGCCATCAGTCTTGTGGGCAACAGGATAGGTTTTTCCTGGAGCTTTTTCGTTATTAGTCCTGTTTGACACTGCACTTGCGGCCTTAGGGGGAGGTGGGATTACCTTGGGCGCTAAGTTCTGTATGGTCACCTGTACCTCTTCGCCTGAAGCCTGCTGGACGTAAGCCCCTTTTACAGTATCTATTGCACAAGCGGGGCAGGGTACGAGGGGGGTTATACTAGGTTTCTTCATCATGGATGCCATGCATTCATTACAGGCCCACCTCAGGAACCTAAGGTTCCGAGTAGATGCCGGCTGCCTTGACTGAAAGTTGGCTGCAGTTGAGATGAAACCAACTGTGGCACGCGTCGCACCGTATGTCCTCCCTGACCTCCGCTGAGCACCCTACCTTCCCACAAGGAAACAGTGTGGCCACCTGTTTCGCTGGTGCCACGGTTCTCACTGGATTCCTACGCGTGACAGACATGAAGTCAGCAATTATCCTATGAAACTGGGTATGGATATGTTCAAGTGTGAATGGAACACAAACAGTGCTTGGCTACCGGGTCCAAAGAACTAATGCTACAGTAGAGTAGAGTCAAGTAATCAAGTAAAACTAAACTGGGTCACCTCTGAACAGTATGGTTTGCAGCCAATCGCTCACCTGGAGTATGTATCGTCACTGCGTCCATCCATCCAGGTACCGACCAGTAGAGTTTTCCAATTGCAGATTGAATTCCTCGTCCAGTCGGACGGTATGGTGGATTG